AAGACATTCATCTCTTAAAATATATGCTTGTATTTGTTCATTAAATTTGTTCAGAAAATACTTGTTGTGTAATTTGGGTTTTAGGCAGCTGGGGATCCTATAGAGACCAAGACAGACATTGTTCCTGCTGTTGGAGAGACTATGTTCTGATGAAGGAGGCAGAGATAGATAGATATAGATAAACAAAAAAATCATTCTTATGAAGGAAATAGTGAGGTGAGTCAGAGAATCACTAAGCACAGAGTTAGGGAAAGTGACTTCAGACAGGGCAAGCCTAAAAGATCTATCTGAGGAAATGACATTCAAGCTGACTGAAAGATGAATAAAAACAAGGAAAAGGTTCCAAGTACAGAGAACCTACAGAATTCATCAACAAGTGCACATCTCCAAAGAAACATCGTAAATGTTCCGTTCTCTCTCCTAACATCTTCTGTAAACTTCCAAATCTGTTTTCATTTTTATAAAACGCACTTCATTCATGAACTTCCTTGAGAGCATGCACCACACACTCATCTTCTTAGCCCTGGTATTTCATATAATGCCTTGACATAGTGAGTACTCAAAAAGATATTTGAGGGCCACCAGATAAATAGATGAATGAAGGGTTAACAATGAATCTGGAAGGTTTCCTAAAGGAAATTTTAAAACTTACGGTTCAGGGTAATGTCAGCAAAAATGGGGGCAGACTAAGGACTCCAAAGAGTCCCTCTTTAAAATCAATGAAAAATCTGATAAAATTTGTCAGAATCAACTTTTTCAGAACTTTGGAAATTAACCAAAGGCTTGCAGCAACCCAGGGAGTGTTTATCCAAGAAAAATGGCTAAATCTTCGTAAGAACAAGCTTAATGACACTTTAACTTGCTCTATTCCCATCCCTCTCTCCATAGCTCCAAGGTAGCCTTGAAAACTAATAGCCTACAACCACAGTGCAAACCAGCAGCCCAGCAGTTACCAGAGGGGTCAGAATAAGATTGGAACTCCTTCAAGACCTCATTCCTAGAGAGTTCTTATTATGTGACCTATCTGGCAGGTCCCGAAAGGTCCCACTTATAAGACTATCTTTATCTGACCTGACTTGGAACTCACACAGTGGAATTTCCCCCAGGGGTGTTGGTTGGAAACCTTTAAGGATAATTAACTTTGCAGCTACGGGAGGCAATAGATAACAGTTTGGACAAACAACAGGCAAACCAAAAAGATTAAAATGAAGAGCTAGGGAATGAGACACCCCCGGGGCTTTAAAAGGTCCAGTGTATTCCTGGAAATATAAAAATGCATGCAATTTTGTAGGACTGCACAAATGCCCAAGGCCTCATTCAGGCTCAGGAAAGACCTGAGAAGGCTCTACTGTCTACCTATGGCTGACCTTGAGTTTTTGTGCAAGTGGGAAGTGAAAGTTAAGGCAGTGCTACCAACTGCTTAGTTGAGTGTTGAAGGCATGCTCCAACATGCAAACAAAATCCTAAACATGCAAATATGGGAGTCTTATTGGTTCTTAGTGTAAAGAAATCTTTGTCCAACTATTAGCTGAATACTAAACTAACCAAGCAGAAACATATGTGGCCACACATGATAATAATACAAAATACAGTGTAATAATACACAATTTCCAGAATTAGTTAATGAAGTCAATAAACAAACACACAAACAAGGCTATGACAAGCAGCAACAGCAATAAACCATGAGGAAACAGGAGAATCTGATTTCCAGAGTTGCTACACTGTATTATTTAAAATGTCCAGTTTTCAAAAAAAATGCAAGACATGCAATGAGAAATATCCAATAATACATGGAACAAGAAAACATAGACCATACACAGGGGAAAAAAGCAATCAGTAGAAACTATCCCTGAAAAAACCCAAATGTTGGACTTATGAAAAAAAAAAAAGACTTTAAATAAGAGATTTTAAATATGGTCAAAGACTTTAAGAAAAATTGTGTTTAAAGAACAAAATAAAGAATATTCATAAAGAGATATAAATTATAAATAATAAAGATGAGGACAGAGAAAAATGAAATAGTGAATAGAAAAGTGATATAAAAAAATAAAATCAAACAAAATCAACAAAACCAAAAGCTAGTTCTTTGAAAACAAAATGGACAATCCTTTAGCTATACTGACCAAGGGAAAAAGAGATAGGACACAATTATTAAAATCAAGGATGAGGGAGATACTTTTCTAGTGATTTTACAGAAATAAAAAAGATTGTGGGCAATAATATGAAGTTATATGTACCAAGTTAAATAACTTAGATGAAATGGACAAATTCCTTAAAAAGACACAAACTACAAAACTGACCCAAGAAAAAATAGTGTTACTAAATGTAAAACAATACAGAGAAGTTTAGCATGGCTCCTGCATAAGGATGACATGCAAATTCGTTCAGTGTCCCCATTTTTCTGGGTCTGTAATGTACAGCAATGGCAACCAGTTAGCAACACTGTATTATGCATTTGAAAGTTGATAAGAAAGTAGATCTTAAAAGTTTGCATCACAAGAAAAAAATTATAGCTGTGTGATAATGGATGTTAACTAAACTGATTGTGGTGATCATTTCATAGCATATGCATATTGCAAATCATTACATTGTACACCTAAAATTAATACAATGTTATGTGTCAGTTATATTTTAATAAAAAAGAAGAAATATATACCCTGAATAGACCTGTAACAAGTAGAGTGATTGAATTAATCAAAAACTTCACACAAAGAAAATCTCGGCACCAGATCACTTCACTGGTAAATCTATCCTATAGTTAAAGAATAATTAACATCAATCCTTCACAAACTCTTCCAAAAAATATGAGGAATGAATACTTCTGAAGTCATTCTATAAAGCCAGAATTATCCTGATACCCAACCCAGACAAATACAAGAAAAGAAAACCATAAATCAATATCCCTTATTAATATAGATGTAAAATTCCTAAAATTCCTTAATAAAACACTAGCAAATTGAATCCAGCAACATAAAAATGATATATGCTCTATGGATATAAATACCTATATGTAATATGGATATTTTATAGCCATTAAAATTTTATGTATTATACCACATGACTAAGTAGGATTTATCCCAGGAATGCAAGGGAGATTCAACATGTGAAAATCAATTAATGTATAACATCATGATACAAAATAAAACATTATGCTAAGTGAAAAAAAGCCAGACACAAAGGACCAATGATTCAATAGCAGCTTGTGCCCTGAAACTTATAAGAAAGTTGAGCAACATGCCTGAGGCCATAGAGATGTGAAGAGGTGTCCAGGTCACTAAGGACATCTCCAAGAAAGAAATGGTCATCTTGTAATAGTGAAGAACTAAGAATGGAGAACTGCTGTATTGAGTCAGATTCTTGTTCCATGCACTCTAATGTGCTTTCTTTGACAGGATCCTTTGTATGGGCACGTGGATATCTTCTTTAATATCAACCTTCAAAAGTGAGTGAGTAATTTCCTCTCACATCTAAATTCCTGAGCTGCTACTACATCTTATACATGAATTGATCTGAATTGCTTCCGTATAAACACAGCAAAAAAATTTGATATTTTATGTAAATTGTTTTCAAGTTTGCAAGAGTCTTAAAAACTGAAAGCATTGATACATATGTAGCTAATACACTGGTATCACTATTTGGAGGAGCCTTTGTCTGTCAGTGGAGAACAATGGGTTCTAAAAATAAACCAGAATGTAGAAAAAGAATAAAGGTTTTGTCTTTCTCCATTGGACTGTGCTCAAGAGTTCAAGATTCAAGTATTGTAGACACTTAGATGAATGTAATACTTCTGTTGTAGCCTTTGGGTCAGACAGGCTCCCAGCATTATCTCCACCATCCCATAACTACTTCTTGATTTCCTAAAGACCAGGATTTTGGAGAACCCTAAATGAGGAGTAGACTCTAGTAAGGAAATGCTGAAGTCGGAAATGTGACGGTCAAGGACACATTCCCTTTTATTGTTTGTGGATGTAAAGGCATGAGTATTTCCACTAACTTTGTAGAGGTAAGCTCCATAAAGGCAAGTAGTTTTCTCTTGTACTCACTAACGTATCTCCAGAATCTAACTTGTTAGCATGGTTTGTACTCAGTGATTCTAATCCTCACTATTTCTATGAGATAAGACTCAAGGCTCAAGAGACAGTATGGCTTAGATAGTGATGTTGAGCAAGCCAATTTGCTTTCTGCCTTTAATTCATTAAGAAGCAGTAGAAAATAAAGAATGAAATATCAAATAAAATATTTTCAGCAATCATGAAGCAGGGGGGTGCTGTCAATTGGCATCCTACCTTTTGTTCTATTACATTGTTTTTTTCCAAGTAATTTATTATTCTTTTTATATCAGAATACATAATTTGACATATTTAGGTTTTTCTAAAAGATACTACTTCCAAACAGGTCAAATAAACAAGTAGTTGAACGCTCTCTCCATTCAAGCTTATTTCTGCTTTTTTAAAACAGATGATGATCGAAGAGTCCAAATCTGAACTAAAAAATACAAGGTGTCAATCCCCATCTACAGTTCTAACCCCCCAAATCTCTAACTTTTAAAACAATTCCTTTGGTGACAAAACCTTACTTGACATCTGTGTTATGTAATATATGCACTGTATTACTTTTTACAAAATCTAGAAAATCCTGAATTCCAAAAATAATTGAGGGGCCAAGAGATTTGAAGAAAAAGCCTGTGTGTGTATGTGTGTGTGTGTGTGTGTGTATTTACATTTAAGTAGGGAAATTAGGCAAATCACAATCTCTCCAGCATTTTCATGATTTGGAAAGTAAGGGGGTTAGACTAGATGCCCTCTAAAATCACCTGGACAGTAATTAAATTCTAGGACTCTTCCTGATCGGTTTATATCCTGAAACACACAACAACTTGTGTTCAATTTTGGATTATGCTCAATTTCTATAAAATTCTGGGCATTTAGTTTTGCCCATAACATGTGACAAGCACACATTAGATATCTCTGCAACCAGGTAAGTTCATTCAGGTTTAGTACCTGCTGTGCCAAACACAGAAGATATGCCTTCCAGAATGGTCTCATGGACAGTGGGATGAGAGAGGACAAATGCAAGTGTCCAAAATGCAACCTTAAAAAAACAAAACAAAAAACATGTATCACACAATACAACCTCCTTTGACAGTGAATAAAAGCATACTTAGTATTCACCATAAACATTAAAAGAAACCAGGAAAATGTTTAAATTAAACTTAAAAGCATGCTAGTAAGGAGCAGTTTTGGAAACAACTAGATTTTATGAACAAGAGAGATGTTACAGATCTCTGAGAGGTCAAATCTATACTTTTATTCTGTCACTATAGTTTAATTCTGTTGTTTATATAAATTATCTTTACTACAAAATGAAGGATTCTTTTTACTAATACACATTATAAAATATTATATATGCATGCATTAAATATTCAGAAACAGCAAATTATGACACTTAAAATGTTAATCCAAATGAAAATATTTTTTAAAATTTAATTTTCGTGAAATAGAAATGAATGAGCAAATCATATATTCCGCAAATAAAATATGGTAATTTTCAATAAGTGCAGAAAAATATACCTCAAATCCCATAAACTAAATTATGAGAGTAGTCAATAACAAAAATAATGGTCCTTTCACACCTGAATGTTACTGAACATAGCATGCTTGCAAATTCTCTCTCTAGACCAAAGAAAATTATTTCACATCTTTCCTCATTGTGATATTACAAGGTTAAAATTATACTGCCATATATTTCAAAAATTAATTTTCCACTAACTCGGGTAGATGTTTTTGTTTCTATTTTTATTTTTATTTTTTATTTATTTTTTTAAGATTTTATTTATTTATTTGACAGAGAGACACACAGCGAGAGAGGGAACACAAGCAGGGGGAGGGGCAGAGGGAGAAGCAGGCTTCCCGCAGAGCAGGGAGCCCTATGTGGGGCTTGATCCCAGGACCCTGGGACCATGACCTGAGCCAAAGGCAGACGCTCAACCGACTGAGCCACCCAGGCGCCCCTGTTTCTATTTTTAGATTACACACTAGAGGAAACCTGTATAAAATCAATAAAAGAAGTTTGGGTTTCCCTTGCCTCTTTTCTGTAAACACGTATTGTAAAAGAAATTTCATCTAGGAAAATCAGTCCTGAAAGACTCCGAAACTACTTCATATTTGAAACAAGTCTTTTTGTTTCTTTTGTGAGGTAACTTTAAGTACCTTTACATAATCCCAATACTCCCCTCTGTGGCCAAAAAGGGAAGAGCAACTGTCTGAAGGGAAACGGTCAAGTAAGCCAAATTCAATACTCCTCATGGTTTTCCGCCCTGGGGCATGAAACCCACTGGTGCCAGGGTAAATACGGTACCAGAGAACCAAGGCCACCACCATCTGGAGAGCCTCTTTCCGTGGCATGATTCAGAGTACCGAAGACTTACCCTAGACATTATCCAGTCCATTTTACAGTAGAAGAAACATGCTCAGAGAGCTCTCTTCTGTCTCCCCACTCAGGCCCCTGCTACTATTATCTACGGATGGAAGTGCTGAATTACTGGATTTAATTAATGACCACTCCAAACTCAATTCATCTCATTTAAAGGGTCAAAGTTCATACTGGGGGAAAAATAGCTTAGTGATAGCACACAGATTTTCAGTTATACAAAAGAGGGGTTCAGAGTTATACTAAATAGTGCTTAGAGTTTTAGAGATTCACAAAAATTGGGTAATACTTATTTTGTAATGAACACAAGGAATTCAGCTAAATTATAAATGGCTGTATGAAGGTGCTATTTATCATTTTTAAACTTGGTAAAAAACTCAATTACATTTATTTATTTATTTTTTTAATTTTTATTTTATTTTTTTTTAAAGATTTTATTTATTTATTTGACAGAGAGAGAGAGCCCGAGAGAGGGAACACAAGCAGGGGGAGTGGGAGAAGGAGAAGCAGGCTTTCCGCAGAGCAGGGAGCCCTATGTGGGGCTCGATCCCAGGACCCTGGGATCATGACCTGAGCCGAAGGCAGACGCTTAACGACTGAGCCACCCAGGCGCCCCTCAATTACATTTTTTAAAAAAGAAGAGTCACATAAAAGACAGGTATGAGTAAATAAGAAATTTACATATATTACTGAAACAAACAAGAATAAATGACCTTGGGATCTTTGCATACTCCCAGTTAAAAATTGCTCCCCAAAGTAGCAATTAGTATTTTGCCAAAGGGGTTAGGTCTATGAGGGCTGCTCAAAAAGGAGAAGGGCCACCTGGCTCACTGAACTTCACAAGCAGCCACTGCAATTCTTTTGGAGTAAGAACAAAGGTGAAAGGGACAAGGAGGAAAGCCCTGCCCAGTAAGAGAAGATGAAATGGGTATGTTCTTCAGCATCACTTATTCCTCCATTCAAAAGAGATTTAACAAATACTGATGGAGTCTCTATAACAGGTCAGACAGTCTTCTACAATCATGGTAAACACAAACACGTATAAGGTATCATTCCTGCCCAAAGAACTTTCACATCTAGTTGGGGATATGAAATAAAAATCAGGAGAAAAAAAGAACTAAGTGTACAGGCAATGGGTGGGATAGACAACACAGGCTGTGGGAGTTGAGGGTGAGGCGGGGTGGGAGGGGGGGTCGTGGGGTCAGGATTCAGAAAGAGCTTGGGAGAAGCGATAACAAAGATAAAATGTCAGCGGTGAAACTCGTTTTGGAAAAATGTTCCTAAAAATCTCATTTGGCAGGAATTTCTTGTAAGTTGGAAATGGTTTTCCCATACAAATGATTTCACTGATTATGGTTAATATTTTGGGCCAGTCTACCAAGGTTCACCTCGACCACCATGGAGCCTTCTAGTGATCTGTCCTGTCCCCAGACTACCTCAAGCCCTAGCTCTGAGTTCCACGGGCTTTGAGGCAGAGCCCAGAATGGGAGAGAAGAGAATCTGACCTGGGCACCAAGAAAGGCCAGGCCCCACCACCTGTCCAATGGCGGGGCTTTTTGGGGTTCTCTAAGTGTTGATGGGAGATCACAGAAGCCAGATAGCAGTGGCCACTCCCACCCTGGGGCATTTGAGTGGTCCAGTTTTGGAAGTCAGGGCAGTTTATTAATGGGCCATTGAAAGTAATGATTGAAATGATGGCCTTACTTTTTATAAAAGAAGAAAGCTAACATTCACTGAGCACCTTCTTTCTTCAAGGGACTGTCAGCCACTTTCCATATCTTAAAAATAATAATGCTCATGACCATCCTATGAGGTAAATAACATTCATCCTATTTTATAGATAAGAATACTGAGGCTCAGAGAGGTTAAACACTTGGCTCGCTGTCACCCAGCACTGGGATTTGGCTTTGGGCCTGACTCTAAAGCCTTTCCAGGGTCTCTGCCTGCACACCAGCTGCTTCTTGGAGGTGCCAACGACAGCCAGCAAAATGGAACTCTCACTAATCATCAGACACTTTCTTTCTGAAATTCATTATTTAAATCCTTTCAGGCCGGTGCCAGGAACAAATTCCAAAGAACTGACTTCCCCTGAGTCAGATCAATGGGGCTTTGTGTCCCTTTCTTCTGGAGGATCTCTCTAATGAGATCTTGAAAATTAATCCTGTGACAGGAGTGGCTGTTTTGTTGCTGCTTTGGGAGCTGTTCTGATGTTCGCCTTTTCATTTTGCTATAGCTTAATCAGTATCCAAGAAAGCAATGCAAAGAGAAATCAGGGCGTAATATCAGAGGTACATAAAGAAGGGGAAAGGATTAGACAATTTTTATTTGCCCATGCCAGATGAACTACATATAGCAGAGAGGCCAGAATTTCTATTTCTGCTCTTTACTCAATCAGTTTTATAACATGTGAAAAGAAACTAGACTATCAGTACTTAAAAGCCTTCACTAAGAGGAAGGAGAAATAAATAATACCTGAAATATCTCATTTCTATTTGCTAGAAGAAAAAAGAAAATGGCCACCTTTATCATTAGAGATGGGTTGAATATTCCTGTTCAGTAGAAAACAAATATGTAAAAAAGGTCACCCTTTAATTCCTCAAATAATACCAGTGCAGCTTAAGCTAATGTGAGATCCTCCCTGATGTGCATCAGGCAAGAAGGGGCAGACATATCACATGCCTTTAATCTAGTTCATAACAGCTTTAGAAAGAAACAGTTAAAAAGTCTCTGCTCTCTTTAGTATTGTGAGTTCCAAAGTCACCAGCTCCATTCATGGGGAAGCTTACAGGACCAAGACGCCAAGAAACACAAACAGGAATGGTGTGCTGAAGGAGAATGGGTAGAGCAGAGGACAAAGAACTAATATTCACTGGGCACCAGTTGGGTTTATGTCACTGAATCCTCACAACCACCTTGTGGAGAAAGGAGGGTTACCATTTATTATGTACCCAAGTCCTAGGACCATATCAGGAGTTGTATTATCCCTTTGTTACCCATGAGGAAATGGAGGCTGAGGGTTTAAATTCTCTCCATGAGATTCTATAGCTCTGGCGGGGGTTATCTTGATTCAAGCCCAATTCTATCCCAGACTATCCATTTACCTACTCTCTCCCCAATACAATGTTGGAGTCAAGACTTACTCATCTTTGCAGCACCAATACTAAGCATGTTGCCTGACAAAGAAAGTACTCCATAAGCAGGTGTTGTCACAACCAACCCCAAGGTGCAAGTTTTTCCCTTAGCCTGCTACAGGCTTGCCTTGCAGAGGGCAGAATTCACTTGACATCTTGCTCTGCCTCCTTTGTGATCTTATCAGATTTCATTAGGCATTCAGTTTTGTTTTTCTAGCTCACAACCAAATCCACTGTAGCCTTTTTCTTTCCCATAATCAAGAAGTGAAAAGACCGAAAAAAAGAAAGAATAATGAAGGAAAAAAACTGAAATTGCAGTAGACAGAAGTGTAATCCTTACTTTACTAATATACTTACAGGGACAGCATTGGACAGAGAAGCCCAAAGTAATAAGAGCCCATAATTGGGGCTCATTTCTTCCTTTCTTTCCGTCTCTACGATATCCAGCATAGACTGCATTAACGTCTGTTAAAAGAAAGACATTTTATCAAACCACAGCTATGTGACAAAGAATGATGTTAATAAACAAAGACCGTGAATTTTTCCTTAATCTCAAATATATTATTTCTGCCATTCCTAGGTCTGCAGCTTGAGGCATGCTAAGGGTTTTATACACTTACCGGTAGCATAGTAATTAGGAATAGGGACTCTAGAGCACAACTGCTTTACTGCATTGGTTCAAATCCTGGCTTTGGTTTTGTTTTTTTTTTTCTTAAAGACTTTATTTTTTAGAGCAATTTTAAGTTTACAATAAAATTGAAAGTACAAAGAATTCCCATATAACCCTTACCCCCACACATGCATAGTCTTCCCTACTTAACAATACCATTCAGCAAAATGGTATTTTTTTTTTTTTACCATGGATCAAGGACATTGACACATCACAATCACCTGAATTCCATAGTTTACCTTAGGGTTCACTCTTGGCATTGTAAAATCCATGGGTTGGGACAAATGCATGATGATATATATCCACCATTATAATGTCATACAAATTATTTTCACTGCCCTAAAAATTCTCTATGCTCTGCCAATGTATCTCTCCTCCCTCCCCAACAACCACTGATCTTTTTCCTTTCTCCACATCTTGCCTTTTGCAGAATGTCATATAGCTGAAACCATACATTATATAGCCTTCTTAGATTGGTCTCTTTCACTTAGTAATATACATTTATGGTTCCTTCATGTCTTTTCATGGCTTGATGGCTCATTTCTTTTTAGCGCTGAATAATATTCCATTCCCTAAATGTACCACAGTTTATTTAAAAGGGAGTCTTGGTGGCTTCCAAGTTTTAGCAGTTATGAATAAAACTATTATAAACATCCATATGCAGGTTTTAGTGTGGACATAAGTTTTCAAGTCATTTGGGCAAATATCAAGGAGCACAATTGCTAGATTTTATGGCAAGAGTATGCTCTGTTTTGTAAGAAACCACCAAAGTGTCTTCCAAAGTGTCTGCACCATTTTGCATTCCCATTAACAATGAAGGAGAGTTCCTGTTGCTCCACGTCCTCACCAGGAGGTGAGCTGTTGTCAGTGTTCCAGATTCTGACCAGAATGAGTGTAGTGGTATCTCAGGGTTGTTTTCATTTGCATTTCCCTGAAGACATATGATGTGGAGCATCTTTTCATATGCTTCCATCTTCTCTCATGGATTGTGCATTTGATGTTATATCTAAATAGGCATCACCATACCCAAGGTAAACTAGGTTTTCTCCTAGGTTATCTTCTAGTAGTTTTATACTTTTGCATTCTACACTTACGTCTGTGATTCATTTGAGTGAATTTTTGTGAATTGTATAAGATCTCTATCTAGATGTGTTCTTTTTGTTTGTTTGTTTTGCATGTGGATGTCCAGTTGTTCCTGCACCATCTGTTGAAGAGTCTATCTTTGTTTCACTATATTGCCTCCTGCTTCTTTGTCAAAGTCAGCTGATTATATTTAAAGGGGTCTATTTCTGGGCTCTCTATTCTGTTCCATTGATCTACTTGTCTATTCTTTCACCAATACCACACTATAACATTACAGTAAATCTTGAAGTTGGGTAGCATTGCTCTTTTGAAGAACTTTGTTCTTCTCCTTGAATATTGTGTTGGTGATTCTGGGTCTTTGTCTCTCCATATAAACTTTAGAATCAGTTTGTTGATATCCATAAAATAACTTCACTGGGATTTTGATTGAGACTGCATTGAATGTATAGGTTGAGTTGGGAAGAACTGACATCTTGACAATATTGAATCTTCCTATCCATGAACATAAAATATCTATTTACATAGTTCTTTTGTTTTGTTCATCAGAGTTTTGTAGCTTTCCTCATACAGAGCTTATATACCTTTTGTCAGGTTTATACCAAGTATTTCATTTTGGGGAATACTAATGTAAATGGCACATTGTGTTTCTAATTTCATACTCCACACATTCTTTATTGGTACATGGGAAAGCAATTAACTTTTGGATATTAACTTGTATCCTGCAACTTTGCTGTAATTGTTTGTTAGTTCCAGTAGTTTTTTGTTGATTCTCTTGGATTTTCTACAAATATGATCATGACATCTGTGAACAAAGACAGTTTTATGTCTTCTTTCCCAATATGTGTAACTTTTATTTCCTTTCTTGATTTATTGCATAGGACTTCCAGTACTATGTTGAAAAGGAGTGGTAAAGAGGACATCCTCGCTCTGGAGTTCTGGTACCAATTTCTAATGTGTGTGTATATGTGGAAGGAGGAGTCCCAAACAACAATAAAAATACTCAGAACACTACCTGGGTGCCCTATAATTCAACTCAGTTCAACTCAATCCTGACACCATCTACCCAGCATGAGGTTCTGCAGGTTAAGGGTTTTGTCCTACAAGACTATACCCTTTCTCCACCTCCCACCTGCCCTTCAGATGTCAGTCACAGCCCAGGTTATTACCTGTACTTTGGACCAACTGGCTACAGATTGGAGGTTCTAAGAGCCTCCTCCTTGGATTTCAGATGCCAGCTACAAGTCTAGGCTGCTATCTGTACTTCCAGCTGACTGGCTGTATAAATCAGAGGTTCCCACAACCCCTTCCTCAGGTTCAGTTAATTGGCTAAAAGTGAGAGAAACATTTTATTTACTGGATTATTATTATAGAAGGATATGATAAAGGATTCAGACAGGCATGCAGATAACCACACATAATGATTTCATTTATATATAAGCACACATAAGTGTGTGTGTCTATATATGTGTGTGTGTGTGTGTATAATCTGAATATAGTATTGCTATAATTTGAACAAATTGTTACCTGTTAGATCAATTAAGAATAGGAAAATAAATTTCTATTTCACCTTTACTTATTTCTTCTTTGATGCTCTTCCCTTCTTTACGTAGATCTGAATTTCTGACCTGTATTATTTTTCTTCTCGCTGAAGAACTTCCTTTAATATTTCTTGTAAGGAAGGTCTACTGACAACAAACTCCCTCATTTTTTGTTTGTCTGCAAAACCCTTTATTTCTCCTTCACTTTTAAAGGATAATTTCACAGGGTGCAGAATTCCAGATTGGTGTGTTTTCTTTTTTTTTTTTTCTCACTCAACTCTTAATATTTCACTCTATACTATTTTTGCTTTGCATGGTTTCTAAGGGGAAGTCAGATATAATTATTATCTTTGTTCCTCTATTGATATGGTGTTTTTTCCTTCTGGCTTCTTTAGGATTTTTTATCTTTGTTTTTTTGTAATTTAAAAATGATATGTTTTTGGTGTTTACATGCTTGGTGTTCTCTGAGCTTCCTGGATCTATGGTTTGGTGTCTGACATCAATTGTGGAAAATTCTGTCATTATTGTGTCCAATACTTCTTCTGTTCCTTTTTCCCTTTCTTCTCCTTCTAGTATTCCCACTGTATGTATGCTATCCCTTTTACAGTTGTCCCACAGTTCCATAGTTTTTGGGTATTCTGTTCTTTTTTTAGTCTTTGTTCTCTTTGCTTTTCAGTTTTTGGAGATTCAACTGATATATCCTCTAGAGATTCTTTTCTCAGCTCTGCCAGTCTACAAATAAGCCCATCAAAGACATCCTTCATTTATGTTATATTGTTTATTATATCTAGCATTTAATTGTGGTTCATTCTTAGGATTTCCATCTCTCTGCTTATATTGTCTATCTGTTCTGGCATGCTGTCTAAATTTATGCATTAAAGCCCTTGGCATATTAATCATAGTTGTTTTAAAGTCCCAGTCTGATAATTCTAATATTGGTCTGTTCAGCCTTGTACTTGTTGTTAGGATGGAGTGGCAACTTCCAAGATCCTCACATGTGGAACCAGAACCTGGCTTAGTTAGTCAAGACTTGGGTAACATTGGACAAGTTACTTTAAGCTCTGTGTCTCAATTTCATCATCTATAAAATGGTCATAACATGGTACCTACCTCAGAGGATTGTTGTGAGAATTAAATCAGTTACTACCCATCAAGAGCTTAAAACAAAACTTAGTACATATTATCATTTTGACAAATTTTTAAAATAAACCTCTGCTTTTAGGAAAATGCAAGCAACACAGAAACACAGATATCTGGAGCATTCCAGAGACAACCCTTCCCCCATTTGCCATGAAGATTCTCAGCCTATACACCATGGAGAAAGCACTGCCAAGCCAGGATATGGTATAAATACCACAATATGCAGAGAAGTGATATTTGACTGGAATGGTGCCAACTAAGATCAGGGCCCCATCCAAGGCCACTGATGGTTGCTCTCAGGTCATCACACAAATTCCATGAAAGATTTATCTTCACTGGGAGGTTTCCCAGTCACACCTTTGTCAATGGTCATTCCCCATCATGGAGAAGAAATTCAGACACATTTTCATTAAGTTACTCATGTATTTTGAATCTTAAATAACTCAGGTTCAGGTGATAAAAATAATGGCAGCTAATGCCTAGTCATTGCTTGCGAAGGCAAGTACTGTTTTCAGTGCTTTGCAAGTATCGAACCATTCAATCCTCAGCACAATTCGAAGAAGTAGATACTTTTATCTTCACCATTTCACATTTGAGGAAACTGAAGCACAATTAAGTTAGGGAACTTTGCCAGGACAGGTGGCTTGTCGGTGGTTGAGCTGGGATTCAAACTCTGTGAGCTTGGCCCTGGCTCCAGAGCCCACACTCTTAGCTACTGTCCTATACTGCCCCATGAGAGAGACAGCCCACAACTCTCATGGACTAGGGATTAAGAGAATTGTATTGTACCATCATGTAGTAGTTTTGCTTCAGATCTTAGGATACATGAAACAACTGTTAAATCACCATCAAAGAAAATACACGATGAGAGACTAGTACTGTGACTTACAAAGACATGTAATATTTCAAAAGTGGTTAACCACTCTAATCCTCAGCTTTCTGGTTTTAATAATCCCCAGTTTGCTGGGTATTAGAGTTGCTGTGAAAAATAAATGAGTCACGAATTTGTGAAATGTGTAATATTATGCCTAGCACAGAGTAAGCTCCCCATAAATGTTAGCAATGTCTTATTGTTATTGTTACTGTAACAATGGGCTAGCAAAATTGAAAATCATTTAAGTATAAATTTTATTTACTGCTAGTTTCTATCATACAACATAAAATTATTATAACACCAAGTTTACATCTCATGGAAAATCCTATACATGGATTTCATTCTCTGGATATGCTATTCTGGTGAAATGTTCGTTTTAAATGAAAACACTAGTTTAATACATATCTAGAATAACAAGGGAGAAATCACCACACTTGATGTTTATGATGTGATGAAATGTGTGTGTGATATTTCCAAAAAATGAAAACTTCTTCCAGTCTTCTGCTTAACTAGGCCATTGAAATCTACTTATACAGAAGACAACAGAATCTTTTATTTTCTTCTTAGACCACATTTAAAAAAAAATTGGGTACAAAACACAAGCTCAGTGTGAATACTGCTGGAAGAAACAGAAATGATACATAAAAAAATGAAAACTGCTCCTGAATGTTCAAACTGAGTTCTGTCCCAAAGTCTTAAACAGTGGATTAGCTTCAGCAAACTTCAAAATCTGTCTTTATTCAAATAGAGAGTTAGAGTACGTAGGATTAAAAACGCCTCATTTCTTCAGAGTAGGAAAAAGAAATGCTACTCTAGAAGTACTGTCAGTGGAGAGTTTTAGTTGGGGCATTAAAAACCCTGTTTGTCAGGCCCATCTATTACAGATCTACCTGGGTGCAGCTTTTATACACATGCCTCTTCACCCCTAAATCCTGGAAAATTATGCAAACAAAAATGTGTTTGTCTGGGTCTGTTTGTAAAATAGAATCCTTAGCTGAAACACTGTTTATCAATGTGGGGCATTCCAGAGTAGCTTTCTATTCCCTTTATTCAGGTGGGAGATATCTAAACATTCATACATCCCTTTTTTTCTGAAGCAATCTTCCTCTCCAGTGTTAGGTAGAGTTGCTTGTGATAACACTTGCTATAATTATGAAAGGCAAGTGAACAAAAGCACTAGATATCATCTATAAATACTAAAAGGTCTGATTTTGGGGGCACCTGGGTGGTTAAGCATCTGCCTTCGGGTCAGGTCATGATCTCCTGATCCTGGGATGGAGCCCCGTGTCGGGCTCCCTGCTCAGTGGGGAGTCCGCTTCTCCCTCTCCCTCTGCCCCTCGCCCCTGCTTGTGCATGCATGCACACCCTCTCTCTCTCACTTCCTCTCTCAAATAAATAAATAAAAATCTTCAAAAAAATAAATAAAAGGTCTGATTTTTAATGATAAACACACGGTATAAACTCTTATGTAGTCCTCACTACTCTCTAACTGCTTCACAAATATTAACTCATTTAATCCCCACATTCTATGAGGTAGATGTAGAAATTGAGCCAAGAGGCCAGGTGCCATGCCCAAGGTCATGAGACTGGGGACTGGATTTGAGCCCGTATTCAGACCAAGTGAATCCCAGTCTCCGAGGTGGGGGGGGGTCTGGACAATCAGGTAGTTTTCAAAAGCTCCCAGAGATTCTGATAAGCAGGCAGGGTTGAGAACTTGTCATTACACAAGCATCAGAACCACCTGGAAGGCCTATGCAACCACAGATTGGTGGGCTCCACCCCAGAGGCTCTGACTGAGTGGTCCCCAGGCGATGTTGGTACCATTGGCCTAGGAACCACACCTGAAGAACCACAGACCTAGGACACTTCGAACAGTGGCTTCCAGTGCCTTGCTTTTCAAGTTATACCTACTACCTCCCTTTATTTGAAAAGAGAAATAATTAGTGGTAGTGACATCAAGAACAAAGTCTGCTTTGCAGAGCTCTGCTGTCCTTGTCTGATGTGCCATAACTCCCACCTGTCACTGTTGACACAACTGTATAATATATAAATCAATAAAAACCTCAGCACCTTGTTAGATGTTGTTGTCTGTAGCCTTAGTTTTTTTCTTACGTAGAAGACTATTAATACCTACCTCATTACTATGAGGTTGTTTAATAGAATAGTGTAGAAATCCAACACAGTACTTGACACAAAATGTTACCTAAATAATCTCATGATTTTTGACAAAAAAATTATTTTAAAAATCATAGCTTATTACTGTTTTCATCCCACATATTTTAACAAAAAAAGCTCAGGGATACTTACCATGGAATTATCTTTTGCAGATCTATATGTTTTCATATCTGGAATAGTTTTCTCAAAAAGTGCTAAAAGCCACTTTTTGGATTTTGACCAGTTTCTAGGCAAGAAAAAAACATGTGCATAAATTAATGTGAAAGCACATCAGGAATAACAGGTCATGGCGTTAAAGGAGGAATATCTATGGAATTATAATTATTTCTCCAAATTTCTTCAGTTTTTCTAGAATTTCATTCGAGGTCTACCTTCAGACTTACTAGATCACAAGGAAAATCAAGGGGGTAGGCAGCCACATCTTAGTGGGGTGTTTTGCAAAAAAATGTTTGAATCCCTATAGGATTGGCATTGAATAAAAAACAAAGACAAAAACAAACAAAAAACCAGAGCCCATGACCTGCTTGTCCTACTTTTACTCTGGCTGTTACCAGTTCCTGGAGGATGAAGAACTAGCACAGTGACAGGTGCTGGCTTAAGTCAGGTAAAGCAAATTGGCTATGATCTTTTTCATATTTTTTGACCAGTCACCACTATAGACCAACTGCTAAGACATTTAAAAAATCATGTGTTATTTTACATTCAAACCCCTGAGGCTGCTGTGAAAAATACATTTGACCACACCTCCTTTTGTCTCAGGGAGAACAAGGACAACCACGGGTCACACTTGATGATTTAGCATGGTTCCAAACTATAGCAATGAATGTGATCATAATAAGCAGTAAACAGGATAAAAGGCCTCAAAATAAATTCTTTGTTTCATTCTCATATCTTCTCTGTCTCTCTCTTACTCCCTGTTAAATTTTTGCTCCTCAAAATAAGAAAAAAAAAAGGAAATAATGCATCTTTCTTCTTCAGTTCCTTCGTCAAGTCATACACACACCAAAAACAAACTGGTCTTAAGAAGTAGCTTCTGTCTCTTCCTCGTAGATGCTGCTCTCTCTACATAGGACAGGGAAATGAGACGGGTATGAATTGCTGGGAGGAGCTTGGTCAGTGAATTAATTGTAGGGAAGAGCTCTCTACCTTAGGAGATGTTCTGGCATCTGGGACCCGTACTCAAAACCTTCGTCATAAGCTTGAAAATGCTGATAGAACTCCCTGATTTTTCTCTCATCTGTGGGAAACAAACCTTTTTTAAAGAGTATATTCATTGTGACTGGATAAAGGAGATGCCTACAAAGAAAAACACATAGAAAGTCAGACCCAACGACCAAAGAAGAAAGGCAAAGGACACAATAAAGGGCATTATTTAATAGCTATATATTAGGGGTAGATAATAATATGCGGCAGATTCTTTTGGGAAAGAGTCACTCTTGAAAGGTTTTAATATTTGCTTACTGTGGTCAAGATAACTTAGGGGTAACTGAAACTGTGGTTCATTTATCTGAAGATTTTAAAATGCTTTCTAAGCAAGCATTGTTAGATCCTGACAAACGTGAGATGATGTGTAGAAATAAATTGATTCAATATAATTTCAACGAGTACTTATTTAGCAAATAATAGCAATAATTAAGATACAGTCCATGACTTTAGACAGCAGCAAAAGAGAGCCAAAGAATCAGGGCAATACTAGTTACCAAATATGCCAAGCTCTCACAGGATCCTACAGATTTAAACTACTACACGTTGAAGGATAGTACCTATCATCATTACATTTTGCCATAAGTGAAAAATGATTACTGTGGCATCCATAAGGGAAAGAATATCAAAGATTGTTAATATGACCTAGATTAGTACACTGAGTACTGTTTGTTTCAGTTTTATTTGCCATCCCTTCCTCACTAGAAAATTTTCAGGATCTCCTTCCCCCAAAGTTTCAAAGATAGCCAAGAATTTGCTTGGTTTTATTGTAGATACTGGGCACGCTAAAAGTTTGGTTGGTTGCTTGCCTTGTTTTGTTTGTTTGGTTGGTTTTTTCCTCTCTCTCTTTCTGGACCTCTAACAAAATATTAACTGTTGTTCTTTTTATGAGTCTGAACTATTGAATCCTGCCTTCAGCATCCCAGTATCCCACTGAGATGGAAAAGTGCCTAACTGGTAACTTCAATTTACCAAATCTCCTTATGCATTGGAAGAATTTTTCTCAAGGTTCCTAGGCCCAGCCCTTACCTTTGCCAGAAAGCTTCAGAACATGGCTGAGGCCACTTGACTCCCTCCAGCACCCTTCCCTGTCTCACCTGTCGCTCAGCATCCCCTCTAGGTAGGTACATTCTACATGGCATGGAATAACTGAGGAGAAATTACTGTAAGTGTATTAAAATGATTGTATTGGCTCACCTTAAAATTGGAGTGCTAATGAAAAATTGCTCCATTAATTAAAATTTAGAAGACTAATATAATCTCTTAATTACCTAGCTAGATAGACTTCATTAATCCACCAGATAATTTTTAAAGTTCAATGCACAGGCTTCAAAGTTTTTTATTCCAAAAAAACCTCCCAAAACAAAAACCAACAAGATCAAATAATACTAATGCATCTATTTACCTTACTAAGTTGTTCAGCTCCATTGTCCCGTGAGTGCCTAAGTTCTCCAGTTGCTCATTTAATTCTTCAGTCAGTTGTCCAGTGAGTTGATATAGGTTGAAAGTCCCTATTTTCCCTTTCATCATGATATAAAGTTTTTCATGCAGTGTTAAAAAAGTATTCTTTGGAATTGACGCTATAAACAGAGAAAACTATTTTCAAAAGAAGCAACAACTCCTTGAAGCAAACAGTCAATCTACCTATACTACTACTTGGTCAGTAGGGACTGGAGCCAAAGTCTTCCCAGTACATAAAATCACCTCCTGCAAGTAAAAGGAGGCAAAGATTCAACCTATCCCATGAGATAGTAAAAGTCTATAGGGAAATTCACGTTCAGGGGTGATCTACAAATGGGTGATTAGGAGGGCCTCTGGGAAACACAAATCTAGTGATTTTTATTTCCACATTTAAAAGCTTTCATTGGCTTCCTACCCTTAACAAAGTTTACACAAGGCCTTCTACCATCTTTCTAGTTCTCCAGTGATATTTCCAGACCCTTCTCCCCGCAAATTTGTATCTCAGGTACAGCGTGATATTTCCAATATTTATATTCATATTTCCTCAGTACTTTTATTAGACATTCTATCTGCTCAAAACACTCTCTCCCTGACCAACTTCACCCCATTCCCACACACCCACAACTACAAGCCACACATTTCTTCTACTAACTTCGATTTCTCCTTCAAGTGTCTACACTTCCTAACCCCATGAGGAGCTTTGGCTCCATTACTTCCTTTGTATTAGTGTTCACGTTCCTTCCATGATACACACTCCTGCTTGAGTTCGGTTAGTAAGAGTATCAGTTTTTAAACTCATTATTCTTTTGTATTTTTCTTTAATCCTGTCTTATTGTCTGTAAAGTAACTTTTTCAAAAAATAGTTCTTAGTTTTCTAGTTCGTCAGCCTATTATGTGTAGGTTACATTTTGTATAAATTAATTAAAAATAATTCTTAATCTCAGGAAACAAACTGAGGGTTGCTGGAGTGGTGGGGGATGGGAGGGATGGGGTGGCTGGGTGATAGACATTGGGGAGGGTATGTGCTATGGTGAGCGCTGTGAATTGTGTAAGACTGATGAATCACAAGCTGTACCTCTGAAACAAATAATACATTATATGTTAAAAAAAAAGAAGATAGTAGGAAGGGAAAAATGAAGGGGGGGAATCAGAGGGGGAGACGAACCATGAGAGACTATGGACTCTGAGAAACAAACTGAGGGTTCTAGAGGGGAGGGGGTAGGGGGATGGGTTAGCCTGGTGATGGGTATTAAAGAGGGCACGTACTGAATGGAGCACTGGGTGTTATACACAAACAATGCATGGAACACTACATCAAAAACTAATGATGTAATGTATGAGATTAATATAGCATAATAAAAAAATGTAAAATTAAATCTCCAAAATAAATAAATAAATAAAAATAAAAATAAAAATAAAAATAATATTTCGATTTCCCAAACATACATCTTCTCCTTAGTAGGGGGATATATGAGAGGAATGGGAGGCTGGCTCAAGAGCACATATTAACATATTTTGTTTATTAAAATAGAAATATTTAAACATGAAAATCCCCAGAGGAGGCAGAGGTGAAAAAACTTGATCATTTCCATGCATCCCTGATCGGTGAGTAAGTTGGCATATTTTTCTGGAGGGATATGTGAACTTACAGATCAAGAGCCTTCAGACGTCAAAATATTTATATTCTTTGATCTGGAATTCCATAGTTTAAATACCGAGAAGCACTAAATAGTCAAAGAATTTAACCAACATGTTGTGATCTTCATGCGGACAAGAAGAAATAACCATCATGTTCTTGGTCACTGACAGCTTTAAAATTTTGTTTTGTTTTGTTTTAATGGCAAGAGATGCATGAGAGGCTACATGAAGAGGAACCTAAGAAAGAAGCCAAAAAGGAAACCAAGAGAAAGAAGCCATAGACAACAGAAGCAAGCACAGACATTAGAGAAGCAGAGAAAGAATCGGGCACCAAAATGAAACAGCTCCCCATTCTTAGGAGGACAAATGGCCTCAGCACCGCATGTTTGCAGCCTGGGAAGAAATAAAATGGACAGTTACACCGGAAGCATGCTGACAAATACAATTTAGCAGTCTCTGACAAGGGAGAACAAAAGGCCACCAATTACATGAGGCCAAGCCCCACTTACCTTAATAGCCCTATGGAATGTGTCAGGAAATGCCACAGTAAAGGGCGTACTAAGCAGTGGAATTCTACTGTCAGTGAACAGAGTAGCAACATGTGATCAAGCCAAGAGCTATAGCCTGTGAAGCATTGTCTACACAGCAGCAGAGCAGAGTGAAGGACATCTTGGGAGCTGTAACAGGATACAGATTCCAAATATTTTCCAAAATAAAGAGCAGTGGGGTAACCTCATCTCTTACCCACATCTAATTAAGACTTACATGAGGCTGCCAATAATTTGTTTTTCAACGACCAAACTCATCAGATACTCTTTCTACCTTCCATCCTGATTTTAAAGAGTAAAATAAGGAAGGGGCTGTCAACATTCTTGCTAGAGGAGCAAGGATATGATTGTTAACAAAGCTACTCTTGGACTCCGATGTTGTATTTCAAACAAACTATCTGAAAATATTCTTTACCTGTACGATAGACGGGCTTTTGCACTGCTAGTTCAAAATTTACTTCTTTGGATTTTAGAAACACATTAATTCCCTCTTCTTCAGTAACAAAGGTCATTCGGGTGCCCATAACAAAGACTGTAAATACTGGTCCATACTGAAAGATAACACAAATACAGATATTAGTAAGGATTTCTAATAAGTTACTGGGCCATGGATTATGCAAGAACCCTAATGCTGAAGTTATAGTCAAGATACAAATTATTATGATTATATATGATAATTAATTATAAATTTTGCTGGATTCAGCCAAATCTAAATTATACAAATCATAATTTATTCTGTCCTAATACTTAACCTTCATTTTGATCGTTATTTGAAACTTCCTTTCTTGTAGTAGGAAATAATAATTAGAAATAATTATTTTTTTTAAAGATTTTATTTATTTGAGAGAGAGAATGAGAGAGAGAGAGAGAGAGCACAAGAGGGGGGAGGGTCAGAAGGAGAAGCAGACTCCCCATTAAGCAGGGAGCCCAATGTGGGGCTCAATCCTGGGACTCCAGGATCATGACCTGAGCCCGAAGGCAGTCGCCCAACCAACTGAGCCACCCAGGCGCCCCTAGAAATAATTATTAGAAATTATGTCAAACAGTGATATTTAAACATTGTTTTCCAGATATCAGTAGGCTTACGAGCAACCTCTAGCTCAGTTTTGTGATATTTCCAGACCCTTAAGAAAAAGATACAAAACAGCTGACTTAAATCTGTGGTCACTCAACAATGTCCTGCAATCCTAAAAAGCTCTCTAATGTGTTCACTTTCTCACTTTCCAAAATTACTATTTCCCCTGGATACCTGACCAACCCTCTCCACTCTGAGATATCTACCGTTCCTGCTTTCTAACTCACTAGGAAACTCAGGCAATCAGGTAAAAGCACTCACAACTTCTTATCACCAAATCTTGCAAAGATACACATTTGTACCCATTCTCTGTGCCTCACCCCAGGTTAGCACAGATGAGAGGTCCTGCCCCTGTGAAATGCCAGTGCTCCCTCACTTGTGTTATGGACTCTACGTTCTTGCCTTCTCTTCATTCTATGTCTATGCCTCCTGTCATCCCACATCATCAGAACTGCCCTCTATGAGATTACCAGCAGCCTACAAACACACGCTAGTCCTGAGTTTGATTTCAGGAAGTCCATGACTTTATTGGGAGGCTTCACTACTGGGTGGAGACTGCCCTCCCAGGGCTAGCCAGTTCTTGGAGAGAGTGAAGGGCTCAGCCAGCCAGAAGCATATCTTTCACATGCAAACCAACCAATCTTCAGTCTATATCCCCATCTACTTCCTTATCTTATGCTCACACACCAGTATTTCCCCTGCCCAAAATCATTCCAAGGCTAGGTACCAGGCAACCCGAAACCACCTGTATAGCCCAAAGCCGAAAAGAATTATTCAAAGTAGCCAATCCTAAATTGTTTTCCCTGCCCTGCTTTGCCTTTCCTGAGGAAGCCCCAATAAAGGCTCAGGCACAGGCTTTTCTCTGGCTGTTATCTTCTGCCTCCTGACTGATACCAGTGCTTTTCCCTGTGGCCCTGCATGGCCTGCAGAGGCCCCCCTCTCAGACCCGTGAGTATAATAAACATCTTCCTTCGAACCTCTCCTTCTCATTTCCTCCTGTGTTGGCACTAACTTTACAATACCACATCCAACATGTACGTTCTTGGAACAGTCACCCATACTTTCATATCCTGTTACAGTTACTGTAAGTATTTCAAAACATTATGCTTGTCACTACTCCAATATTGCAGTCATTTCTAGGTGCCCCTGAAATGGCACATGATCATTCCTACAACCCATTGTTGGGCTTCATCAGGCAACTGTGGGCGTGAAAACCATGAAGCCACCAAACAGTGAAGTCTCATTTTCTTACACTGGTGATCCGGACGTCTGCATGACTTTCCAGTATTACTTATCTACAATTACTTGCTAATCAATATTTAGAAGATGAATAATTTCTACTGTTTTAAGTTTTGTACAAATAAGAATTCTTAACTTTCCATTAGGAAAGTGGCCTATGTAACACATATAGGTACCTGGACCACAGTGTAGAACAGCCAAGTTCAAACACACTGAAGAATTGACATAACTGCTGATGCAAGGTATTTAAAATAACTTACGGCAAAAGTGCACTGTACAAATGATCACGTCCGATGTTACAAATTCTATGGCAGTGGGGGTGTATCTGTCTTACTTGCTTGGCTTTTGTCCTCCTTTGTGCAATGTCTGGATGTTATGAAGCAAAGGCAAGTGCATACAGTATGTTGTAGAAATGGTGCTTGTGTGTTGTTTCATGAGCATTTTATTTTGAGATAACAATAGAGTAATGTGCAATTATAAGAAATAATACAGAGCAACCCCATGTATGCATTACTCTGTTTCCCCTAGTGTAAACATGTTGCAAAACTATCGAATGTTATCACAACTAGGCCACTGATAGTGATGAAGTCAAGGTACAGAGTATATCCATCACCACGAAGATGACTCAAGTTGCCTTTTTATAGTCACACCCATTTTACTCTCACCGCCACCTCTTTGGTTACCCTTGACAACTACTAACCCGTTCTCCAGTTCTATAGTCCTGAATTTCAGGAATGATATACAAATAGAATCAATGGTATACAAATAGAAGATGAAAAGATGAATATTTGGAATAATGGAAACTTCAGCAGATTGGCTTTTTTTCCACTTGGTATAAACATCTGAGATCCACCCAGGTTGCTGTATGTATCAATAATTCATTTCTTTACATTTCTGAGTAGTATTCCATAGTATGGATGTACTACAGCTTGTTTAAACATGGTTGAAGAATGTTTGTATTCTTTTCAGTTTAGGACTATTACAAATAAGGTTGCTACAAACATCAGTGCACAGGTTTTTGTGTGAACGCATGTTTTCATTTCTCTAGAAGTGGAATTGCTGGCAGCTGTGTGCTTTCTTGTTTAAAGAACTGCCAAAGTGCTTTCCAGAGTAGTTGTCCCACTTGACATTTTCACCAGCAATCTATGAATGATCCAGTTTCTCTCTGTCCTTACTAACATCTGAGCGCTGTCACTCTTTTTTATTTAGCCATTCTGATAGGTGTGTAGTGATATCTCATTGTGGTTTTCATTTGCATATCCTCAACTGGCTAATGATGTTGAATATCTTTTCATGTGTTCATTTGCCAGCTTTATATCCTTTTCAGGAACTTGTTCATGTCATTTGCCATTTCTTTAGTTGACTTGTTGGGGTTCTTTAAATGTTGAGTGCAGAGAGTTCTTTCCATATTGTAGATAGCAGTCTCTCATTAGATATGTGGCTTGCAAATATTTTCTCTCCGTCTACAGCTTGTCTTCCCAGTCTCCTAACAGGGTCTTCCACAGAGCAAAATCTTGTAATTTTCATGAGGTCCCATTTGTCAGTTTTTGTTTTTATGGATTGTGCTTTTGGTGCTCAGTCTAAGAACTATTCTTCAGCCCCAGATTAAGAGGACAGTCTCCTTATTTTTTTCTAAAAATTTTATAGTGTTATGTTTCACATAAAAGTCTGTGATCTATTTTGAATTAATTTTTATATACGACTCAGGACTTAGGTCAAGGTTCATTTTGTTTTGGTTTTGGTTTTGGCTTATTGGTGTCTAACTGCTTCACTGCCATTTGTTGAAAAGGTTACTTTTATTTCAATAAATTGCTTTTGCATGTTTGTCTAAAATCTATTGGACATTTAGTGTGTCTATTTCTGGGTTCTCAACTCTGTTTCATCAATCTCTGTATCTATCCCTCCACCCACATAATCTTGATTACTGTAGCTATGTAATGAGTCTTGAAACTGAGTACAGCGACTCTTCCCATTTTATTTTTTTTAAACTTGTTTTAGCTATTCTAGTTCTTTTGCCTTTACATATGGATTATTAATAATCTTGTCTATATCTACACCTTACTGGAAATTTGATAGAATTTGCATTAAACTTATATGTCAATTTAAGGAGAACTGACATCTTTACTATGTTGTCTTTTCCAATCCATGAACACGGTATGTCTCTTCATTAAGTTCTTTCATTTCTTTCATCAAGGTTTTCTAGTTTTCATCATAAAGTTCTATACATGTTTTATTAGATTTACACCTAAATATTTCTTTCTCTTTTTGAGTGACTATAAATGGTATTGTATTTTTAACTACCATTTGCACATGTTCATTGTTAGTATGTTGCGATACAATTGATTTTTGTATGTTGACTATATTCTGTGATCTTGCTGAATTTACTGATTAATTCCAGGAGATTTTTTGTAGATTCCTTGAGATTTTCTAAGTAAACAATCACATCATCTGCCAATAGAGACATTTCCATATGATTTTTTTTTTCTTGCTTAATTGTACTCACCAGAATTTCCAGCATTATGTGAAATAAAAATGTTGGCAGTAGACATCCCTGCTTTGTTTACAATCAGAGATGAAGCAGTTATTCTTTCACCATTAAGATTGAGGGGCACCTGGGTGGCTCAGTCATTAGGCATCTACCTTTGGCTCAGGTCATGATCCCAGGGTCCTGGGATCGAGCCCCGCATCGGGCTCCCTGCTCCACGGGAAGCCTGCTTCTCCCTCTCCCACTCCCCCTGCTTGTGTTCCCTCTCTCGCTGTATCTTTCCCTGTCAAATAAGTAAATAAAATCTTTAAAAAAAAAAAGATTGAGGTTAGCTGTAAAATTTTTGTAGATATTCTTTAATAAGTTGAACAAGCCTCTATTATTACTTTTCTGATAATTTTTAAAACTCATGAATGGGTGTGGTATTTTGTCAAATGCTTTTTCTGTACAAATCAATATGTCCATGTGCCTTTTCTTCTCTCACCTGTTAATATGGTGGCTTGCACTAACTGATTTTCATATATTGGACCAGTCTTAAATCCCTGGAAGAGACCCATGGAGTCATGGGATCTATAATTCCTTTTATATATTGCTGGATTTTATTTGCTGGTATTTTGTTGAGGACTTTTGCATCTGTATTCATAAGGAATACTGATCTGCAGCTTTCTTCTTTTGTGCTGTCTTTATCTGGTTTGGTATCAGGATGATCCTAGCTTCATAAAATAAACTTTTCTATTTTCTGGAGATTGTTT